GAGTTCTTGTAAGGCAGGCCTGGTGGTGATAAAAATTTCAGCATTTACTTGTCCATAAAGGATTTTCTTTACGCTTATGAAGCTTATTTTGACTGGATATGCAATTTTGGGTTGAACATTCTTTTCTTTAATAATGTTGAATATGGCCCTCACTTTCCTCTGGCTTGTAGGGTTTCTGCCGAGAGATCTGCTGGGAGTCTGATGGGCTTCCCTTTGTGGGGAAGCCCTTCTCTTTGGCTGCCCTTATCATTTTTTCCTTCATTTCAATCTTGGTGAATCTGATGATTATATGCCTTGGGGTTGCTCTTCTTAAGGAGTATCTTTGTGGTGTTCTCTGTATTTCCTGAATTTGAATCTTAGCCTGTCTTGCTAGGTTGGGGAAGTTCTCCTGGATAATGCTGAAGAGTGTTTTCCAACTTGGTTCCGTTCTCTCCATCACATTCAGGTACACCAATCAAACATAGGTTTGGTCTTCTCACAGAGTCCCATAATTTTGGAGGCTTTATTTGTTCCTTTTCATTTTTTTTCTCTAATCTTGCCTTCATGCTTTATTTCATTAAGTTGATCTTCAGTCTCTGATATCCTTTCTTCTGCTTGATCAATTCAGTTATTGATACTTGTGTATGCTTCACGAAGTTCTCGTGCTGTGCTTTTTTAGCTCCATCAGGTCATTTATGTTCTTCTCTAAACTGGTTATTCTAATCAGCAATTATTCTAATCATTTTTCAAGGTTCTTAGCTTCCTTGAATTGGGTTAGGATATGCTACTTTAGCTCAGAAGAGTTTGTTATTACCCACTTTCTGAAGCCTACTTCTGTTAATTTGTCACACTTATTCTCCATCCAGTTTTGTTCCCTTGCTGGCAAGGAGTTGTGATCCTTTGGAGAAAAAGAGGTGTTCTTGTTTCTGGAATTTTCAATCTTTTTGCGCTGGTTTTTCCTCATCTTCATGGATTTATCTACCTTTGGTCTTGATGTTGGTGACCTTCGGATGGGGTTTCTGTGTGGATGTCCTTTTTGTTGATGTTGATGCTATTTCTGTTTGTTAGTTTTCCTTCTAACAGTCAGGACCCTCTGCTGCAGGTCTGCTGGAGGTTTACTCCAGACCCTGTGTGCCTGGGTATCACCAGCAGAGGCTGCAGAAAAGCAAAGATTCCTGCCTGTTCCTTCCTCTAGAAGCTTCATCTCAGAGGGGCACCCACCAGATGCCAGCTGGAGCTCCCCTTTATGAGGTGTCTGTTGACCCCTGCTGGGAGGTGTCTCCCAGTCAGGAGGTATGGGGCTCAGGGACCCACTTGAGGAGGCAGTCTGTCCCTTAGAGAGCTTGAGCGCTGTGCTGGGAGGTCTGCTGCTCTCTTCAGAGCTGGCAGGCAGACATTTAAGTCTGCTGAAGCTGGCCCCACAGCCGCCCCTTTTCCCAGGTGCTCTGTCCCAGGGAGCTGGGAGTTTTATCTATATGCCCCTGACTGGGGCTGCTGCCTTTCTTTCAGAGATGCTTTGCCCAGAAAGGAGGAATCTAGAGAGGCAGTCTGGCTTAGCGGCTTTGCCAAGCTGCATGGGCTCCACCCAGTTTGAACTTCTCAGTGGCGTGGTTTATACTGTGAGGGGAAAATGGCCTACTCTAGCCTCAGTAATGGCAGATGCCCCTTCCCCCACCAAGCTCGAGAATCCCAGGTCAACTTCAGACTGCTGTGCTGGCAGCAAGAATTTCAAGCCAGTGGATCTTAGCTTGCTGGGCTCTGTGGGGGCGGGACCTGCTGAGCTAGACCACTTGGTTCCCTGGCTTCAGCCTCCTTTCCAGGGTAGTGAACAGTTCTGTCTTGCTGTCATTCCAGGTGCCACTAGGGTACAAAAAAAAAAAACTCCTGCAACTAGTTCAGTGTCTACCCAAATGGCCATCCAGGTAAGTGCTTGAAACCCAGGGCCCTGGAGGTGCAGGCACCTGAGAGAATATCCTGGTTTGTGGGTTGCAAAGACTGTGGGAAAAGCATAGTATCTGGGCCAGAATGTACCGTTCCTCTCAGCACAGTCCCTCATAGCTTCCCTTGACTAGGGGAAAGAGTTCCCGGACCCCTTGCACTTCCTGGGTGAGGTGACGCCCCACCCTGCTTCTGCTCACCCGTTGTGGGCGGCACCCACTGTCGAATCAGTCCTAATGAGATGAGCTGGAGACCTCAGTTGGAAACGCAGAAATCACCCAACTTTTGTGTTGATCTCCCTGGGAGCTGCAGTCAAGAGCTGTTCCTATTCGGCCACCTTGCCCAGGTCCCCTGACATTTTTTTTTTCACTTGAGATGGAGTTTCGCTCTGTTGCCCAGGATGGAGTACAGTGGCATGATCTTAGCTCACTGCAACCTCTGCCTCCTAGGTTCAGGCAATTCTCTTGCCTCTGCCTCTTGAGTAACTGGGATTGCAGGAGCCTGCTGCTACATCCGGCTAATTTTTGTATTTTTAGTAGAGACCGAGTTTCACCGTGTTGGCCAGGCTGGTCTCAAACTCATGACCTCAAGTGATCTGCCTGTCTCAACCTCCCAAAGTGCTGGGATTACAGGTGAGAGCCACCAAGCCCGGCCTCTAAATGGCATTTAAAGGTGAATTTATTATTTTAAAATAACTTATTTGCAACTACTCCTCTTTCCCACAAGACATTGTCTGGTAAGGTGGCTAGACATAAGAACCTAAGTGAATTAGGATTACTTTCTGAAAACTCATTGAAGATCTCTGTGTTACACTGGAGCTATTCAGGTACATAATGAGAACTGGAAATCCCTGGCCTGTTTGAACTTTTGAAAGGCTTACATTCCAGAGATGAGAGAGACATGATTTTATAATGCTCTACATTTCTGCACCTGAGTGCTGATTTGGGTGAATAGACTATTGGCTTTACCTATAGGAACCTGGCTACCTGAGTCAGCAACATCTGCTCTCTGGAGCCTACTGGGAGGCTAAGGGTAGGGGAGAGACCGTCTAGGCCACTGAGCGGAGCAGTAGGGCCTGCAGGTTAGGAGTGGTGAAAATCTGGCCACAGAGAACATATGGGTGTCTTTTCAAGGAAGTGTGACATATGCGGGAGAAAATGGAGGCTAGAAGGGATGAGGAAGAGGTGGTCAGGGAAGTGAGGGCTTCCTGGGGCCAAAGTTCCCTAACAAAGGTTAGTCAGGGTGGGACTGTGTTTCTCCACTGCAACTACCCTCAATACTCATGTAGACAACTCTTAAGAAATTTAGCACTTCTTTCAGAAAATCAAACACCGCATGTTCTCACTAATAGGCAGGTGTTGAACAATGAGAACAGATGGACACAGGGAGGGGAGCATCACACACTGAGGTCTGTGCGGGGTAACTAGGGGAGGGACAGTGGGGGGTGGGGAGTTGGGGAGGAATAACATGGGGAGAAATGCGGAATATAGGTGATGGGGAGGAAGGCAGTGAACCACATTGCCATGTGTGTACCTATGCAACAATCTTGCATGTTCTTCACATATACCCCCCCAACCTAAAACACAATAAAATATATATTTAAAGAAAAAAAGTAGGGGGGCCGGGCGCGGTGGCTCAAGCCTGTAATCCCAGCACTTTGGGAGGCCGAGGCGGGTGGATCACAAGGTCAAGAGATCGAGACCATCCTGGTCAACATGGTGAAACCCCGTCTCTACTAAAAATACAAAACATTAGCTGGGCATGGTGGCACGTGCCTGTAATCCCAGCTACTCAGGAGGCTGAGGCAGGAGAATTGCCTGAACCCAGGAGGCGGAGGTTGCGGTGAGCCGAGATCGCGCCATTGCACTCCAGCCTGGGTAACAAGAGCGAAACTCCGTCTCAAAAAAAAAAAAAAAAAAAAAAAAAAAAAAAAAAAAAAAAAAAAAAAAAAAAAAAAAAAAAAAAAAAAAAAAAAAAAAAAAAAAAAAAAAAGAAAAAAAAAGAAAAAAAGAAGAAATTTAGCACTTCATTATACACTGCTTCCACTGGAAAGTCCTGCCACTTAAGCAGCTTTGGGTCCTGCCTAGATTGGAGATGATCAGTAAGGAGCCCTAAGGCTACCAACACAATACAACCAAGAAAAGTGCAAATATTCATGAAAAGCGTTGCCAACTGTTTTGTAATACTCACCACAATCCTGCAAGGTGGACATCGGCATCCTCACCACTTTTCAGACAGAGAAACAAAGGCTCAGAGAGGGAAGTGTGCCTGGTTGGAATCGGCACTGAAGCTTCAGCTACCTGCTTGCGGAGATGTGCTCATCTCGAAGCTTCTCAGTGCCTGCTCTGATACGGGAGGAGGAGAGGAGAGGCTTGCTGTGGTGGTTTGTAGGCTTGTAGGGTGTGTGTATGAGCCTGTGTGTTTGGGTGTGCGCGCGCGTGTGGCTATTTGTGGAGTCATTTCCCGGGCTACTTGTGCGTTTAAGTGTGCGTATATGGGTTGAGATGTGGTGTATATGGATATTTGTGGGTCAGTTCTTGGAATGTGTGTATTTGAGTGTGTGTTGAGTGGGGTTGGGGGGGTTAATCCGTGAGCCTTGTGAATATGTGGGTTGGGGCGCTGCTGAGGGCAAATGGACTTGAATTTTGTGCATGATTTTGTGTGTGTGTGCGTATGTGCTTGAGATTCCAAATATGTTGGAGGGTGGGTCGCGGGGTGGGGGGAGATCAGTCCCTGGACCGTGTGTTAATAGCGCGCGTGTCTGCCCAAAAGAGGGTGGGTTACTGGGCTGTGCGTGTCTGTGTAGAGTGTGAGTGTGTGCATGAGGGTGAATGTGTGTGTGGAGTGTCATTCCCCGGTCCTGTGCATGAGTGTGACAGTGCACGCCTCTGTGTGTGTCCCGGGTGTGTGGGGTCGGGGCGGTGACCAGGGGAGGGGACGCCGGCCGACCGGGCCCCGCCCTTCGCTGCAGGTGGGCCGGGCCCGCGGCGGGGCCGGCAGCGCTCGCTGCTCTTGGCTCGCGGCCGCGCCGGGCTCGCAGGGCTGGGCTCGGGCTGCGGGGCGGCGCCGGGACAGGAAGCGGAAAGCAGCAGCGCGGCGGCGGCGGCGGGGCTCTGCCTCTCAGGCGCCCAGCGCAGGCCGCAGAGCCGGGGCCGCCGAGAGCCAGGACCGCGGGCCGCGGAGCCCGGGCGGCCGGCGCGGAGGTGAGTCCCGCGGGAGACCCAGCGCGGCGCGGCGGCGGCCCGGCGGACAGACCTTTGGCGGGGAGACGCCCCCACCTCGGACCCCGCGTGCCCCTGCGCCCTCCTCCCGCACTCGCCCCGCCGGACTTCGACCCCGGGTCGCCGGCTCCCGCCTCAGACGGGGAGCTCCCTCCCCTCCTGCGGAGCGCTCCGGGTCCAGCTTCCTCCGACTCCACTCTTCCCCGCGCAGTGCGCCCCTCCTGGCTCTGCCGTGCAGTCCCCGCCGCACCCCACTCCCTGGTGTCCCGGGGTGCCCTGCTCACGCCTCGGACGCCCGTCTCTCCCCTGCCTAGCCTTTGGGTGCCCCCCTCGGGTGCGCGTGCCGGGGCGGCGGGCAGGCCGGCAGGGAGTGGCCGAGCGTTGGAGGCACCGGGCGGCTGCAGCAGCCGTGCAGGGCGGGAGCCGGGCGCGCACCGGGGTTCCCACCCCCGGCGGGGCTCGACCCCGGCACCGCCTGGCCCTTCGCCAGGAACCGGGACAGAGCTGGTCTATGTGCACACCTCGCTCACAAAAAATTGAGCCGGCCCTGGAGGCCTGGAGGGCGAGTCCGGTTGCGCCTCGGAGAGAGCAACAGGCAGGTAGGAGTTTACTTTCAAAAACGCCGGGGTGGAGCCGAGGCGTCCGGCGGGTCCCTGACCAAGGTGTCCCTGCTGGAGGAAATCTCACCGCGCCGGGGCAGCCTTCGCCACCGGCAGGACTTCATTTCCTTCGCAGCCTTTGAACTGCCCAAGCATCGCGCCTGGAGAAGTGTGAAGCTTTATAAAAATTTAAACGCGTCCCTGGTGGCGGCAGGAGTGGGGCAGAGCCGCGGCCTGGCTGCTGGGTGATGAGCAGATGAGACTTGGAGTCGAGAAATCTGTTGCTCAGTTTTCACTTCTCCAAACCAGGTGTAAGGCCCACCCTGCGAAAGTGTCCTGAGCGCCCTTAGATGCTGGTTAGGAAGTATTGGAGCGCCTTATGATGGTGATTGTGTGGATGGCCAGTGCATTTTGTTAAAACTCTTGCCCTGGCTTTGGTTAGAAATGAATGTATCTTAGACACTTAGTTCAAAAGCTAACAAACTGTGAAGAATCTGGCATTTTCACGGACATGTTTATAAATTTTACAGGGTTGCTGAAAAATATTATTACTTGTATCCCCAATCAACAATGATAATTAGCATTCTCCTTTCAGTGGGTGGGTAGAGCACACAGCTCCCAGGCTCTGTAAATGAGATGGCAGAAATTGCCTGAATACAGGGAGAGGTAATTAGCCATTTTCTGTAACCACTAATTACAGAGTTTTTAGAGTTGAATTAAATCGATGTGATATAGTTGGGGCTTTGATTTGTGGGAGGAAACTGTTTCTTTTTCCAGTTCAAAGAAATAACACGCTTCACCTATCCGTGAGCATTAAACATTCCCAAACGTTGCTGTCTCAATGTAATTAGTGAAAACACTCAGGGTGAAAGTTCACTGTTAACAATGTTGGCAGTGAGGCTTGCTTTCAACTTAATTTGTAAGTAAAATGGGAGAAGAATTTTGAGAGTGACATATTTGTAAAGACTACTTGCCAAGCCGTACATTCTTATTGTCATATGTATGAATTAACAGGACAAAACCATAAAGGAAATTTAAAGTTTCTTTACCAAGCTACGATTCCATGTCACCCTTTGTTGAAGGATAAATGTGCTGAATGAAGAAGGCATCCTCCCTGTTATCGTCCCCTTCACACACACACACACACACACACACACACACACACCCACACACCCCGTGCTTGCTATCCTTCAGCTATTTGGGTGGGATGGCCCCTTATCACATTACGTTTTAATTGGAGGTCTCCACACTGGGGCCATGAGCTCCTTAGGAGTTGGAACTCTTTTAGATTCATTTCTTTTCTCTTGAATGCTCCACAATGCTTGGGACACAGAACCTGTGAGTAGAAGTTGAAATTGCAAAATTCTTTATGGGGTTATATGTAGTTTGGGACAATTTATGATTATTGCTTATACTCCTCTATATAAATAAGCAATTCTGGTAATTGCTACAATGCTGTAAATTTTCTGTAGCTAAGAGCACAGGTTCTGGAGTTAGACTCTCATCGTTCAAGCCCTGGCTCCAGTGTGTCAGTCTGGTTTCCCTAACTAACATGATATTAATGTTTTCTTTTCCTTAAAGTCTTGTGATGAGGATTAAGTGAGACATTACATGTGAGTGACTTAAAACAGCATCTAACACGGAGTAAACACTTGACAACCATAAACTGTCAGACTATTACCATCATCTCTGTAAAGTCAGCTAGCTAGTTAGGGTCTTGCTGTATAGGGCATGTGATTTGGGCATCATGCTATTCTATTTTCCTTAAGATGGACAAAATGAGGTGGGCTTGTGATTGGACGGTGTTTCTGTTTGCAGTATTGGTCCCTCTGAAGTTTGATGCAAGGATACATGTGGGTTCTGCTGTCTAGCAGTGTCCTTCTGAATCCCACTATAGAAAAGCGGTGATTAGACCCCATACCATCAGATTTACAGAGGAGGTAGTACTCATGAGATCTATTTTTCTGAAGTTTGAGTATCCGGCAGGGGACGAGGGAGTCACTTGCAAACAAATATACATCACAGAGCTCCAGACATGTTAACAATTCACAGCTCTTCAGAAATCTGTACCCAGCTGCTGGAGGTGTTTCAGGGTAATTAATGACTGGAGAGAGAAGTGATTCTGGCAAGGTGAGTTGAACTCATTGGTGAAACAAGTAAAACAAAGTAGACATTTTCTTTCCTTGTAAATAATGACCCAGAATCATTCATTTATAAGCTGTTGTAATAAAAGAATCACTGGGTTTGTCACAAATGCCATAAGCTCAGCGGATCCTCACACCAGTGACCTGCGTGACGTTTGATGGTTTATAGACAGAAGTTCAAAATGTTTCATAGATTTTGCCCTGCATCTCTGCCCCCTCCTTTCCAGCCCCAAGCCCCTCCAAATAAACCCACTAAGACACACACAGTTTTCTCTGGTCTCTCTGACATTTGCTTCCAACCTGGGGATGGTAAATAGAGGCCTGTAAGGAACAGAATAGAAATCACTTATTGCTTAGCTATAGTTTATAGTAGTAGTTAAAGGTGGTAGCAGAGACCAGAAAAATGGTATATGTTGGGTACAAATGATACAGAAGTTATATGCCGTGCAACCCCTTCAGTTCTTCCTAACTGAACAAATTTCATGTTAGTGAATACTGATAGTAGTTGACAGCTGTGAGTGCCTACCATGTGCTAGGCACTGTTATAGTAATTTTTATGAGTTTTCTCATTTAATGCCCACCACAGACCTATAATGTAAGTAAAATAAAATTTGTTGTTACAGTTAGGGAAACTGAGGCAATGAGCAGTTAAGTAACTTGCTCTGAGGTCACACAGCTAAGTACTAGAGCCAGGATTTGAATACTCTTAACCCCACAATCTGGGCTTATTGCTACTCTCTAGAAGAATAGTTGACTCTAAACAAAATTATTTCAATTGTCACATTCCCCTTGAGTGCTATTTAATTAAAAATGGGTACCCCTAAGAAGAATGTTAGCTTCAAGACATAATATAAATAATAACTAATTGCATAAACCCTGTAGAATTCTATGTAATAATCAAATATTCAAAGTAATGTACACAGCGTATATAAGCATGGTTGTATCAGATGCCACTTTCCCTTGGAAATAGATCTACTGCAGAGGAAGCAAAATGTCTCTTTAAATTCAGTGTGTGTCTCTGTACCCCTTACAGAGTAACTTTCCAAACCAGAGTTCCCTTAATTACTTAATAGCTCTAGGCAGAGCTGTTGATGTTTTTATAATTTCCTTTTTGCGAAGGTTAGCTTATGTTTACCACTGTCATTATCATAACATATTATTTCCTTCATACGATTTGCTAAACACCGTGTTTTCGTTTTAAGTAGTAGGATTTTTATATGAGTGAACACAACTTGAGGGGAGAATTCTGTTTGAGGCTGCCAATCTTCATTTTGCTTCTAATAAAGGATGGTAAAGGAGGTTCTTTCTGACATTTTTGCCTAGGAATTCCAGAGTTCAGGACACGGCCACTCAGAAACACCCTGTGTGCCTGTCTCCCAGGGTTGACCTTGCCTGTGTGTGATGTGGCTTGATGAGCCTGGCCCTGTCCTGATATTTGCCTCTAGCTCCAACCCAAGCAGTGCCAAGCAATGTACTCTGAAGGGGTGGGTGATGGGTGAGGTGGGATGCTCTTGAGCAGTGGCTGAAACGGGCTGCTGCTGATTTTTGCTCAGTGTGTCTGCAGTATGACCTCTGCCCCTGAGTGGGGCTGCCATGCGAGCCAGTAGGATAGCTCTGGTTTTTGATAGTTCTGGTATCGCTGCTCTATCTAATATCTGCCTCTTTTTTTTTTTTTTTACCCTCTAAAACTAAGGATTTAAAATAGATAATTTCTTTCTTTTTTTTTTTTTTTTTTGAGATCGAGTTTTACTCTTGTTGCCCAAGTTGGAGTGTAATGGCGCCAATCTGGTCTCGGCTCACTGCAACCCCCGCCTCCTGAGTTCAAATGATTCTCATGTCTCAGCCTCCCAAGTAGCTGGGATTACAGGCATGTGCCACCATGCCCAGCTAATTTTGTATTTGTAGTAGAGCAGGGTTTTCTCCATGTTGGTCAGGCTGGTCTCGAATTCCCCACCTCAGGTGATCTGCCTGCCTTGGCCTCCTAAAGTGCTGGGATTACAGGTGTGAGACACCACGCCCGGCCTAAAATAATTTCTAAAGTTTCTTCCACAGTGAATCTATGGCCTCAAGTCCTAAAATCTGCCACAAAACCCTGCATTCAGCAGACATTTATACGGTACCCATAATGTCCTAGGAGCTGGAGAGACAGACAGTCATGAAAGTACCTCTGCCCTCGTGGAGCTTACAGCCTGTAGAGGAACTAGACAGTAAGTGATCACACAAACAAATGTGTAACTAGAAGTTGGATAGAAAGGAAAAGTACCGGGTGCTAGAGAAGAGCCTGACTGAGATTGGAGCATCAGGAAAGGCCTCTTGAAAGGAGCAGTATTTAAACTGAGGAGTGACGAGTAGGAATTTGGCAAAACAGGGCGAGTAAAAGGTGAGTACCAACAGATATACTGGGCTCTGCCAAAGCCCTAAGGCTCCACCTTAAAGGAGCTGGAGCTGGAGGAAGAGGAGGGAGCTGGACCACTGGGCATGACACTGCATACCAAATGAAAGATTTTGTATTGTATTTAAAGTGCAATAGGACACATGGAAAGGTTTTAAACAGGGAAGTAAAGTCTGCACTGTAATTTAAAAGGTCATTCTGGCTGCTGTCCAACCTGGGCCAAACACAATATGAGTCATGTGAGGGATCAGAATGATAGACAGTTCCAGGTTCTGGGAGCCATATTCCCACCTTTATATGACTGTCCCATTCATGCTAGACAGCCTATCAGTTTATTACCCTGGGAACCTGACTCCTTTTCATTGCTTTATTATCGTTTCTGATAAGGGATTCCTTCTGCCCTTATCATGAGTCTTGTTAATTTCTTGTGTATGCAAGGGAACTATCTCCTAGATATATCATTGCAGTGATAAGCTTCAGGACATCCTTTTCTATTAAGTCTATTGAAGTTCTTACCTTGGCTCAGACTCTGTTAAAATGACTTCACTTTGGATTTTATTAGTTTGCCTTTTATTGCATCTCCTTAATCCTCGCTCAGATCTTGGATAGGATAAGAGTTGGTAACTATTAGAAATGGTATGACTTAGAAGGGGCTTGAGCTGTGTAGACTGGATGGGGTGAGGACATCTGGAGGCTTTGTAGTGGTCAACCCCCGTGTAGGTGGAGCCTGGAGGAAGTGGGTGGCTGTGAATTAGTAGAATGAGAAGGGGAGGATCAGAGAGGGTGTTGAAGGCGGCACAGGATTGGATTCACAGGATAAGGGTATTGCTTTAGTGAGAAATTGGGAAGAACAGGACAGGATACTGGAGAACACCCATGAGAGGGGTGATGGTATTCCCAAGGGGAGCAAGAGGAATCTCAGTAGGAAATGTACACTTGGGATTTAGGCTTTCAGTAAGTATTTGTTGGATACCTGTTGTATTCAAAATATCCTGGGTGGAGACAGAGCTGCTGTCTTCAGGAGCTTCTGCCATAGTAAATCTGTGGATGGAGAAGAACGAGGAGAGTTTTGAACGTCAAGAGATAAGGTAATGAGGGGAGAGGAGAGGGAGTGTTAGAGAAGTAGTAACAAACACGCCATCACATTGGAGGCTGGCCAGCTGCAGAGAAGCCCTGCCAGGGCAGGCAGCATGCATTTGTCATTGCTGTGCCCTAGCATTGCTTGGCATGGTCTTGTAGCTGCCACTTAATCTGGAGGTGGATGGACTAATAAATGGAATAAGCACTGGGGGAGGAGGACAAGGATGCTGCTTGCCCACAGCGATCCCTGGCCAACTTTGAGTTGTTTCAGTGGAGTGCTGTGGATGGGGATTTGGAGCGACAATGGACAAGGAGGGAGTGACAGCATGTGTAGACCACTCCTTTGGTAAGTGCAGGCAGGAATCATGGGAAGGAAACCGGACTAGGGTTGTTGGTCGAGTTAGATAAAGACTTTCCGGAGGGCAGTTGGGACCCATGGTTTCCTTTGAGGGACAGGCCTGGAGTTGTCTTAATGATTGGCCACAAGTTTTCAACGAGGACAAGGAATGAAGTCCTCGGGCAGAGGGGAAAGGAATAGAACATGGGTTACCATGTGCCAGAGACTTTACCTTTGCAGTTTCATTTAATCCTCGCAAGAACCCTGGGAAGAGAGAATATTAAATGACCTCATTTTATGGGGCAGGGTTGGACAAGCTCAGAAAGGCAAACATCTGCCTCCTGATGTCACAGCTAGGAAGCACCCAGCTGGATCTGCCCAGATCTGCGGGGCCTGGGCCGCCTGCCTTTGAGACACTGCAGCAGCATTTGATGCAAAAAGTACCCAGGAGTTGAGATGGAATGGGGAACCCAGAGTTACGGGTTGCAAGGCAGAAAGAGTTGTGAAGGGTTAATTACGAATCTACAAGAGAGAGAATTTACTGTTCTGGACCAGGGAACTGGACATTAGAATCTGCAGATCAGCAGAGAGCTGGTGAGGGGCTTTCAGTGAGGATCTCAATTCATGCAGGGTTAGGTATCTTGGATGTACCTTCTAATGTTGATGTCTGCCTTTTATGAAGCAGGTGAGAAAACAGCAAAGCCCAGGGCAGCAAGGAAGTGAGACTGAGGTGTTGAAAGCTGGTTGAAACTGCTGGTGAAAATGGTGGAGACAGTAGGGAGAAAAAAGATGACTCAGCTCTTGAAGTCTTCTAGGAAAGTAGGGTAAGTCCAGGAGCAAGACAGCATTTAAAAAGGCTTGCTGTGTTTGTTTTCACATTTAAGCTTTACAGTTACGTCCCTCCCCCTCCCCCGATAATAGGCTGCCTTGCTTCCTTTTTATGGATTGGGAAATCTCTGAGGCTCCAGGGAGAAACTGCTTTACCCAGGTTTATAGCTAGTTAATAGGCTAACTAGTAGGGCTGAGATGCGAGCTCCCTTGTGTCTCAGTGAGCCCGTAGGCGAGCCTTGTGGCAGGAAGGCCAGCACAGAAACTCTGTCTGCCCTGCTTCTTTCCAAGTATTTCTCTCATTAGACAGAGAGACAGAGGAACAGGAGTTTCAGACACCTTAAAGGGAGTTGTGATAGCCACTAACTTTAATTTACCTAGTACATCTGGAGCTCCTGCTGGGTGCCTCAAAGTTGTTAGCTCATTTGGTCTTCATGGCAACCCAGATATTTGCATTTTACAGTTACATGTTCAAATAGGTTTACTAATTTCGACTGGGGCCTGATAGCTCATAAGTGAGTAAAACCCTAGGTTAGACCCGCCTCTGGAAACTTTATCTGCTTATATTTTCAGATCAATCTGTGAGGTCGGTGGCTGGTTGGTTTAACCCGTTTAACAGATGAGGAAACTGAGGCATAAGAAGGCAAGTGGCTTATTCCAGGTTGTACTACACAGTGGCTGAGCTCAGACTAGAACTCAGGTTTCCCCAGGGCTAGCCTTGGGCTCTTGATGGCAGAGGAGAAGTGAAATCATAAGTCAGGGCATCAGGGACAAAGGAGGCTGGCCCTGGGTGGCAGACCTTGGAAGTGATTGCACCTGACTTCCAGGAGGAATGAATGGTAAGGGCAAATGCACCCTAACTGGGATTGGAGGCTCTGGGGGCTGTGGTGGTGGTGTATGGCGATTTGGGCTGACCTGATTCCCACCACACTTCTGTGTTGTTGCTGGGCCGGGGTGGGGGGGTGGGGGGGTGGGTGGTCAGGAAAACCTGGTCTCCCGCCAGGAGGGTTAAGGAATGGCATTTACAGCGCCTTTGTTTTTTCTTCACACTTACCTCACGGGCTGTGTTTGCAGTTTCAGCTTCCAGCGCTGGAAAAAGGAACCCTGTGGAGCAGAGACTAGCTCTGGGGTGAGGGGTGCAGAGAGAGACAACTTGTGGATCTCAGTTTTCTAGAAGTAAAAATTTAGCATGTGGGAGCTCAGGAATGTACTTGGAAATGTTTCCAATTTATTTTTATTACAAAGCCATATCAAATGAAAATGTGGGAAAAAACCCAGGAGCCTGCAAATAATATATTACCTGCTTTCATTTTCTGTGTCTCCTTTTAAAAATCTTTGTCCTTACATAAGCAATTTTGTGTGACTAACTGTAATGTTGATTCACTGTGTATCAACAGTACTGTATCCTGCTTTTAAAATTTGTCTTTATAAGAGTTTCCATTTCTTATAATAATCATTTTAAACATATGCGATACTTTTCTAGTGGATGAACCATGCTTTCCTTACCTATTCCTTTAATCTGGGGGGCATTCGGATTGTAGCATTTTACTATTTATAGACAATGAGACGACAATAATTTTTCTTTTAAAAAGAAATTAGTTTCCTAAGATAAATTCTCAGAAATTTGGATCTTGGATCAAAAAGATGGAAGATCTTTTTTTTTTTTTTTAAATTGGCATTTGGAAATTATGACCAAATCCCTTAAGAGCAACTTCACTGGGTATTGTTTTTATAACCAGCAAACTGGCAGTGGGGGGCTGGGCATAGTGTGGAGGGCCGTAGATATGGAAAGCCATCTCCTAAAGCCAGCGAGCAGGGGTGAGGTTGTCCTGAGGACGTGGACAAGTGCCTCCCATTTTCCTGCTGCTGTGATGGGGGTTCAGCCTGCCCAGCACCCATCCTGTCTCCCTCCCACACACCTGGGGAAGCTGGTTGCTGCATGGGCGGAGCATTTAGAGTTCAGTTGCCTCACCCTCCCTCTCTCCTCCATGTTCCATGAGAGAGACCCCAGAGAGGAGGTGTGGCTTTGTCACTTATCTTTCAGCCCCATTGGTTGGCTTTGAAGATTGATGTCATGTTTTTTCCCTCTTTCTCAGAATTTGTTCCTGTTGAAGAGTGGCTCCTCTTCTAATTTCCAGACTCCTCGAGATTTTACGAGTCTGGGTGAAATTCTCTACCTCTAAGGAGATACAGTACCTACTCCTTCCTCAAGGGCAAGCCCTCCATTGCTATGGATACCGAATCCACTTATTCTGGATATTCTTACTATTCAAGTCATTCGAAAAAGTCTCACAGACAAGGGTATGTAAGTTGTTCATTATTCCACTTTACCATTTGGGGAAACCTACAGGTTGGTGGGGTTCTCTGCACTCACTTTTCACTGACTTGGTGCTGGAGGTTCGGTCTATTGGTGCGTGAGAAGCTGAGCTCTGAGAGCATTTAACATCCTTGGGAGTAACTGTGCTACCAGTTTACGTTTCATAGCCATCGTTAGAGTTGATGACTGTAATTTCTCACAATTGATTTTAAATTAAAGTTTCTTCCTGCCGTGGAAATGTTTTTCATTTCTAGGTATTTCTTATAGCTATCGGATCTCCTGAAAGCTTTATGAAGAATGTAAATGGAAGATGTAAAAAGTGTTCGTTGCTTGTTGCTTTTCACCTGAAATTGTTGACTCATTGTCCATTATGCCTTTGTCCTGAGGCTCATTTAGTGAACTCGTGGGATTGGCCTGGCACCTTATTCCTCTTAGACTAATCTTAAGGTGAACAAGCCTGGGTTTTGAAAACATTGTCCTGGGTGATATTGGTCAAACTCCCTCTTTTCTGCAAGCTAAACAGGTGTGCACTGGTATTCTTAGGGCCTGCTGTGTTACTGACCTGTAGACGTTTGCTAAGTAGAAGAGCCAATGAATGAATAAAGAAATCAGTGAACAGATAGATGGTGCTTGCCAGTTAGGATTGTACTTGGTGAAATTGCAGTGCTGCCATTTACTTACCCTTTTCATCTGTGAAATGGGTACAGTAGTCCTCTCCTACAGGGCTGTTGAGAGGATTAAATGAGATTATGCATGTAAAGCATGTAACACAATACAGGTTGGAGGTCACTTGCCAGTGGTTGGATTAATGCGGAAGGCCTTGGCATTTCAGCACTATGTTCCAAGGTACCAGCTGGCTCCAGTCCAGATGCCCAGCTCTGCACTGATTTGGGAACAGTGATTGTAGTGGTTTTGCCCTGACTGAGCTGTTCTCCATATAAGCAGCCGAATGCAGAGTGAGATTTTGTTCCGTAAAACAGCAGTGAACTACATACATCTAATTATTTACAAGCCCATCTGGGTCACTCACATAGAAAGAGGCTTGGGAGGGTATTCTCCAAGCTGCCAGGAGTGGTCATTCACAGGGGGAGGCTTGGCAGAAGCTGAAAACTAATGGGAACTTTCATTTATGTTTTTGTACTTATTCAGTTTTTTTACGAGTGTATATTTTGTAATTTTTAGAAATGAGTGGAATAGAGTATAAAGGAAAGGTTCTCAAAGATATTTGATGACATGAGAACATGTTCATGAGACCATGTTATAAGAAACAGAATTCGGCCGGGCGCGGTGGCTCAAGCCTGTAATCCCAGCACTTTGGGAGGCCGAGGCGGGTGGATCACGAGGTCAAGAGATCGAGACCATCCTGGTCAACATGGTGAAACTCCGTCTCTACTAAAAATACAAAACATTAGCTGGGCATGGTGGCGCGTGCCTGTAATCCCAGCTACTCAGGAGGCTGAGGCAGGAGAATTGCTTGAACCCAGGAGGCAGAGGTTGCGGTGAGCTGAGATCGCACCATTGCACTCCAGCCTGGGTAACAAGAGTGAAACACCGTCTCAAAAAAAAAAAAAAAAAAGAAACAGAATTCAAAATGTTGTATGCCGTAATAGTTACATATATCTATGATGAGTGCTCACCTAGTGACCATGCCTGTCTGAGTATAGGACGATGGTTGTATTTTCTTTTTAACTTTCCTAAATTCTTATGTATTGCTCTTATAAAAATTTGGGGAAAACATATCAGGGAGCTTGTGCTGGAGTCCAGGTAAAGCTTTCAAATCAGGATGAGAAAAAGAAGGAGCTCTGGGGCAGGTGTGCCGCTGGACGGGGCCTGGGGTGACATGGCAGAGTCCAACTCCTGAGACAGTCAGAAACCCTCTGGCCATAACAATTTAATCATACATTTCAGCTGGTGGGTAAACTTATCAGATTTAGTTATGAAATACCAGAAATGACTGTTTTAAAATACCAGTTTTTAGCCCTACCAATTCCCTTGTCAATGCCAGGCTTCCCTCTGGGTACTTGGGTAAATAAAGAAGGTTGGCTTGCAGTATTCTTTGTGGGAACCATCTCTGGCCTCTTTTGTCTACACTCAAGCTCTGACTTTCACGCTTCGGGGCCCATTGCTACGCTCTGCTATTTCCTTAGGCCTCTTGGGGTCCCCAGAAATTGATATTCCAATGCCCTTGTGGTGATTCAAAGAGACTGTAACTTCCAATTAAAACAACATGCAGAACTTTTAATGCATTCTTGGACCCATGTGGAAAGTACTTGGCAAATGTTAATACAAGCTGAGACTTTTAATCAATTATGCAAAAAATGTTCCTGGATATTTACTCTGAGAAAAGCTCTGAGAGAGGAGATGAGCCTCAGAGATTTGTAGTGCACTCCATGGGTTCTTTAAAAACGCCACGACCACCTACCGGTGGCGGATTCTCAGCTGATGGCAGCACGGGGCACAGCAGCTGTGGGCTGAGGGGTGCCATCCCTGGAGAGCATGGGCTGTGGTGTACTTTGCTGGGGCCTAAAGAAAGTTTAGCAGTAGGGGTACCCTCCAAGGGCTGAGAGCTGGCCCCAGGCCCAGCCAAGAGTGTTCTGTCCCAGGAGTGTCCCTGTGAAGGCTGCCCTGCTCAGAGGTGTGCTGGGAACCTGAATGGAAGGGTAGGAAGGTGCGGGGGTTTGGGGGAACGGGAACCATGCTCTTTGGTAATTTTAGTCAGACTCCAACTCAAGGAAGAATAATGAAATGCACCACACTTGATACGCCTGATGACACCGTGATCATCTTAGAAGACTGGCCAGGTTCCAAGCAGATGACAAGTGACTCTTTTCTAACAAAGAGGTCAGTGGCCTGGTTTTGTGATGCTTGCAGTCTCCAGAGGGTGTCCAGTTAACTTGCTGGGAGAATAGTGTGGACTCTTGCTGGCCCCACCTAACCTTTGGGCTTGGAGCACAAGTTCCCTGATTTAAACACAGCAGCTGCCAGCCATGTTATGCTTTGGGGGTGTCTGCTAGGCCCCTCATAGCCATTATCTTGTCTTCTCACAGCAGTCCTAGAATGATGGGAGATCGTAGCCCCATTTACAGGTGATGAAATACAGGCACAGAGGGCAACGCTATTTGTTCTAAACTTAACAAAGTTAGTAGGTGCCCTCAGCAGATTTTGGGCCCACCTTGTTTCTTTAGAAGGGAAATGCTACTTTTGGAAAGGGAAATGAAGTGTGACTCATGTGACTAATGTGCTGAAATACACAAAAAGGGGGCTGTTGGGGCAGTGGAGGAATCGGTGCCTTTGTTCCAAGGCTGCTTCAGAGTCTGTGTGCCCTGTGCCCAGCCCTCCTACCCCCGTCACAGCCAAGAGGAAGCAGCCAGCCGGGCCCCAGCAGAGAGAAAGGGCAGGTCGTGGGTGGTGGGAGAGAAGGAAAGGGAGGAGTAACCGGTGGGGCCAGCTTTCCCCAAATAGAAATAGGCAAACAACAGAAACAGGACTAAATAATCTTCCCAGGAAATGCTGACTGTAAGTGGGAACGGTGGTAATTACAGGGGTTCTGGCTGGAACGAGGAGGGTGACAGCAGCCCCCAAGGGCTTAGCTCTAGAACCACCTAAACAGAGGCATTTGCTCACACACGTGCAGTGCAGACACATGCCCGGCTGCCTACATGCCACCACTTGCTCTTCCTGCCCCCTCACACATGCAGATAGACTTATCTTTACTCATACAGCAGATGTTGCATGCAGACAGATTCAGAGATAAAGATGTAAAGAAAATCCCTCATAGTTGACACAGCAGCCCAGCAAAGGCAAGGAGTGATCCAGACCACTGAGGCAGAGTTGGAAAAACACGCAAGTGTACATGTGTTTGCAACACACCTCCCTGTGACTTGGCAGCCTGTTTACTCCCCTGCTCTCCCATTTCCATACCCTTAGACACCATGAACAGATTGTCTTCGTTATTGGGGAACCCTCTCTACACAGCACTTGGCCAACCTAGGTTTCCCCTGGAGTTATGGCATCTGGTGCTGCAGGGGTGAGCATTTGAGTACATGTTACAGCGAGGTGGCCACACTGTGCCTCGCAGTTCTGCAGACTGGAAAGCACTGAATGGCAGGATTTTTGTAGAGTGTCACTATGAAGTCCTGGCTTGGCTCAGAGACTTCTTAGAGCAGTAATTGGGGACCAGTGATTTCTGCTAAAGTTTCTCTAATTTTCTTTTTTTTATTTTTTTTTTATTTATTTTTTTAAGACGGAGTTTCACTCTTGTTACCCAGGCTGGAGTGCAATGGCGTGATCTTGGCTCACCGCAACCTTCGCCTCCTGGGTTCAAGCAATTCTCCTGCCTCAACCTCCTGAGTAGCTGGGATTACAGGCACGTGCCACCATGCCCAGCTAATGTTTTGTATTTTTAGTAGAGACGGGGTTTCACCATGTTGACCAGGATGGTCTTGATCTCTTGACCTCGTGATCCACCCGCCTCGGCCTCCCAAAGTGCTGGGATTACAGGCTTGAGCCACCGCGCCCGGCTAAAGTTTCTCTAATTTTCTAAAAATTTTTTTAAATAAAAGCTGTATGGCAGGTTCTGCTCCCTTGGTAGCATGACCAGTACCTGGCGCAGCGCTGGTGCTGAGCTGACGGGAAGTGCCTCACCTTCACCTCTCACCTGACAGTGGGTGAAAGGCTTTCGGCTCAGGGTGTCCCTCAGTCATGACTGCACACTGTCCTGAGCCTTTCTCCCAAATTCATCCACTTCATACTATTTTAATAAAGCAGCACTGTGTATCATAACATTGTGCAGCTGAGCATTACACTCATGGCTCCCATTATCGAGTCCCTGCTGTATACAGGGCATTTCACAAAGAGGCTGACTTCCAAGCAGTCACCCAACAGTCTCCTTCCAGGAGCATTTGGCAAGAGAATCTTGGGGCAAGTTTCCTTTACCACCTGCAGTCACCTCGGATTCTGGAGAAAATTTTGACTTCTGCTATCTCCCCTCCAGAAAATTATTTGAGAGTGAGGCCAACAAATCTGCACTTGAATCCATAACCAGGGTGTTTTTCTGTACACTTTTTTAAGTTTAAGAAGTGTTTAAAGTTTAAGACACACTGGTTAGGGTTTTGGGCTCTGGAGAATGAGAAACCTTCCTTGGGTCATCAGACAATAAGTTCTTCTCTGGTTTCCCTCCAGTGTTACCAGGGGAATTGTTGGACAGTTATTTCACATTTGGGTGCTCCTGGGCCCTTTAAGAGCCAGGCTGGGAGGGCTGGTGATGGGAGCCCTGGCTGGTGAGAGAGGCCGTTTCCACCCCCGGGTGACTCCCCACCTGCTTTCTGCCCTGGTAGGGTTCAGGCTCCGGGAATTGGCACTCAGTGAAAGAATTTTGATTTCCAGTGGAATTTGTGCTGTCACAAGACTTGACCCATGGGACCAGTGAATAGATAGATGGGTTAGGTGAGCATGTGACTTGGCTGGTGGCCGAGGGAGTGATAAATGTGAGAGCAGTTGGGGGAAGTGGAAATGGATTAAGATAGACGAGGGGCCGTGTCCATCTGGCCGAAGGCAGGGCCGGGTGAAGCAGCCATTCTAGACTTACTCTGAGGTTAGTTCTAAAACTGACCAAACACCAGGAAAGTCTCTTCCAAATTGCTTATTGTTTCTCACAGTGGGTGCCTTTTGAAGTGATTGTATTTGACAGCCCAGAGTGTTGGGCACACAGCTTTGTGCTATCTAAGGTCACAGTCCAATTGTGACTCCTAGCAGTAGCTTCAAAGGCGTATTTCATAGCTCCAGTAGTTTTCAAGTATAAGGGTGTGAGAATGAGCTTGAGGAATATTTTATGCCATGAAATCTTCGTGCACCATAGTGGGTTTGAACAGAAGTGGTGGCAACAGACCCGAATTCAGATCTGCCACTTACTGTAATACTACTTTGGGAAGTAACTTAAACTCTGTGAGCCTCAGTTTCCTTGTCTGTAAAATGAAGACAATAATATTATTTTCATAGGATTATTATTAGGATTGAATGAAATTAATATAGTGAAGCATTCAGCAAAGTGTTCTATAAGTTCTATAAAATTGTTTACCCAGAAATACATCTAACAATGCCAATTACCTCACATCCAGGGCAGTTTTTCTGTACACTTTTTTAAGTTTAAGAAGTGTTTAAAGTTTAAGACACACTGGTTAGGGTTTTGGGCTCTGGAGAATGGTGAGGTAGGATGTGAGGTAATTGGCATTGTTAGATGTATCTCTGGGTAAACAACCAAATTCTCTGCTTATTTGGCTGTTTCCCTAGCTGCCTTGTTAAAACAAAATACCTGAGTTGAGCAGAACACCTCTATTTTTAGAGTCTAACTTAGCAGTTGTATTAGTCTGTTCTTGCATCGCCATAAAGAGATACCTGGCTGGGTGCGGTGGCTCACGCCTGTAATCCCAGCACTTTGGGAGGATGAGGTGGACTGATCACGAGGTCAGGAGATCGAGACCATCCTGGCCAACATGGTGAAACCCCGTCTCTACTAAAAATATAAAAAAATTAGCTAGGCGTGCTGATGTGTGCCTGTAATCCCAACTACGTGGGAGGCTGAGGCACGAGAATTGCTTGAACCAGGGAGTTAAGCTGAGATCGCCCCACTGTACTCCAGCCTGGTGACAGAGCAAGACTCTGTCATAAAAAAAAAAAAAGAAAAGAAAAGAAATACTGAGACCTTCATAAAGAAATGAGGTTTAACTGGCTCATGGGTCCGCGGGCTTTACAGGAAGCATGGTACACACATCTGCCTGGCTTCTAGAGAGGCCTCAGGAAGCTTAAAGTTGTGGCAGAAGACGAGGGAGAGCAGGCACATCACATGGCGAAAGCGGGAGCAAGAGAGAGTTGGGGGAGGAGGTGCCACACACTTTTAAAAAATCAGATCTCCTAAGAACTCTCTCACTATTGTGAAGATAGCACCAAGCCATGAGGAGTTCATCACCATGATCCAGATACCTCCCACCAGGCCTCACCTCCAGCACTGGGGGTTACAATTCAGCGTGAGATTTGGGTGGGGACACCCAAATCAGCAATAGATTGTAATTATAAGTTGTGCTCTAGGGATAGAGTTGTCATCAAAAGATTCCCTTGGCCATGGGAGCCTCCTGGCTCTTTGAAGGAATCAATCAATGCTTATCCCAGGGAGATAAGGCTGAAGTTTAACAAGAAATCTGTATTTTCTTAAGCTAAGTAGTAGGTTAACAGAAGATATGTTGTGTGTTAATAGTTCTACTTACACCTCTTTCTCCGGGGTATATACACTCTGTGTCACCAAGTGAAGACACCATTCTTTGACATTGGCTAATAGTAATAGCAATCACAGCCACTATGTGTTAGCACTTACTCCACATCCTTGTACTGAGCACTACTTACGTTAGGTGGTGGTGTTGTCACCACTTCATACATAAAGAAACCGAGGTTTTCCGAGATTGAATAACTTGTGCAAGATCACACATCTGATGGGGCAGAACCAAGATCTGCTTGTCTCCAAAATCTGCTTCTATCCTGCCTGGGAGACCTTGGGAATGAGAGCGAGTGCTTGTAGGAAGCAGGGCTGATGTCAACGAGGCTGTGGGGGCAGGAGGCTGAGGGAACTCACTGACCCTTGAGAGGTCCTTAGGTGCGGGCTTCTGGGTTTCCTGTTGGCAGCTGGAGGGGGAGTGCCAGTTTCCATAAGTAGTTATTGCCCAGGTTGTGACCTGGTCTTGGCCACAGTGATTGGTTCCTTTTGGAATTTCATGAATGACCCCCAGGCAGGATTCTTACAATCACCCCGGAAGACCACCCAGGAAGTTCCTGTGGGGTAAAATGATGCAGCAGACTGCTTTGCTCAGGAGGCCTGAAACCCTCCCCGAACACACACACACACACACACACACACACACACCTTGGTGTCTTTTGTCCTAGCTTGTTTGTTTCTGTGGTTATCTTCAAGTTCAGCTAGAACCTATGGGAATGTCTTAGTTTTGAACTTGTAAGAATGAGAAATAAACAATTCAACCAAATCAAATCAGTAATTATTACAGTAAGGTGTAACTAGTTACAGAAATTCTAAAATTACAGTTTTAGGCTTTGAAAAAATATCACTGTTGATAAAGGAAGAATGACAGTCTTTGTTTTGGGTCTTGGAATGGCAGAAAGAAAATATTAAGTAGGGAGTAAAAATCAGTGTTCCCCTTGAAGTGTGGTGAGGAAGTACATGTTTTGATGCTGTGTGTGCATGCACACACGTGTGTGTGTATGTGCGTGTGCATGTGCGCGCATGTGTATGTGTGTAGAATTTTCCTAAATTTAAAATGATACTTATATTTCTGTGAACCCAGAGAGTTAATTAACATGGCATAAATGTGCTAGCTCAGTGTTGTTTTTCAGGGAGAGAACTAGAGAGAGACACAAATCACCCCGGAGTAAAGATGGCAGAGGGTCAGAAAAGTCTGTCACCATTCAAGCTCCCACTGGAGAGCCCCTGTTGGCAAATGATTCTACTCGGACAGAGGAAGTTCAGGTAAGGATCAAAGGCAGTCTGTAAGCACACTGCCACTTGGCCAAGACTCCTTTCTGTAAATGTTTTCCTAAGTCTTGTTGCAGTAGGTTCTCTTGGGTTTTTGTCTTTATTTTCCTAGCATGCTAATTAGTTTATCTACGTCCTATGGTGTCTTGTTGGTCTAAGAACAGCCTGTCCTGCCCTTTGGTAGCTTGGGGATTCTTCCGAAGTATGATTGGTTGGCCTGCTTTGCATGGTGTGGAAAAGAAGCCAGCCAGGTTGATGACAGGGAAGGGAAGGGAAAAGCTGAAGTCTCCCACGACTCATTTCAAAATGGAACAGTATAAGAAGGAGAAGGAAACCCAGAAAACCTATGTAGTGTTAAGAAGAAGAGGGGAAAACGTGGGGCAGCCCAGACCGACCATTACTACTAGATCTATGCAGTAAATCAGAGGCTGCACATACAGATACCTGGTAGAGGAACATAAGTTAGTTAAGGAGGCCCTGGGTCGAAAAGAGGGGGCAAAAATATCTCAAACAAGCTTTGGGTTAACAGTAGTCTGTGCATTGTCTCAGTGTCACTGCTGTTGTTTGCAGTGAAGGAGGCTGTGGCAGACTGGAGAATGCATTTTCTCTGCAAAGGAAACAGAAGCTCTGCAGCTCCAGACACCTACTGTTGCTCAAGAATGCAAGGATTCAGTGTTTAAGAAAAGCTGGAAATCCTAATTTTATATTATTTTTGAAATATACTTTATTTTTTAAAACATTGAGTGGGTTCTTCTCGAGCTTCCAACTGGCAGCCCATCTGATTTAAATAAACATCTGAGCTATACACGGAAACATGTTTGCACACCCTCTGCACATCCTGAAATATATATACACGTGTCCAGCCTTGCCCCTCATAAACAAAGCAGTGTATGATACACAGCTGTAAAGACAGATATAGGACTGTAGATAAGCATAAATCTGTACATACCTGTGCGTACACACAGGTAAGCATTTATAATCAGATAGATGGACTTGGAACTCCTAGGAGCACACAAGGTGTTCTTAGGACACAAAGCTACAGTTGTGGGTTGAACATGGGGTTCATTGAGCAGTGAGCAAATGCCATTAGTGCTGCCTTCTTTGGCTGTGGGATGGCTGATGGTTGGATGGGGCCAATCCTAGGACTGGGTCACCCTGGAGCACTGAAGGGGGTCACTTTCCTCCTGGATGTGCGTTCAGAGGTGCCAGTGGCCTACAATGAAGGCTCTTCTTTCTCTGCATCTCCTCTGCACCTCATAGCTGAGAACTACTTTGGGAAGCTATTGGTGCTGCCCCGGGATGATCTGGTGAGAAAAGCATTGAGATGGGTGTTTGGAGGCTGTATTTCTCAGTAGCTCTGTTACCTTGAGCAGCCACAGCCTTTGTAGGCCTCAGTTTCTTTATGAAAATCTAGGGGTTTTGATGAAAGGATCCTAGGTCCTTTTTCTTCTAAGAACCTCAAGCTTGGCAGGACCCTTTGTACATGTACATTTTTTAGGCATGCGTGTGCACCCCGGGAAATTCTCTTGTGCCCTTCCTAGTAATCTCTGCCTCACCCTTGCCTCTCCAAGGCAACCACTGTGTTGATTTCTATCACTGTAGATTAATTTTGCCTGTTTTTGAATTTAATATAATTAGAATCATATGGTCTGTCTCCCTCGCACCCACCACCCTGCTCAGCATAATAATTTTGAGATTTATCCATGTTTTGGTATGTTTCAACAGCTTATTTTTTTTACTTTTGCTGAGTAGTATTCCATTGTATCAGTGTACCACAATTTATTTTCCATTCTCTTAGTTGATGGGCATTTGGGTTGCACTATTTTGGCTGTTGTGAACATACTTCTTGTTGTCTTTTGTTGGATATATCTTTTCTTTTTCTTTCTTTTTTTTTTTTTTTTTTCTTTTGACTGATTCTT